GGAGGAGGAGGAGGAGGAGCAGAGTGGGGGGACAGTAAGAGTTTATGTGCTCAGGAAAGGGGCCGCCCACACTCCCGGGGAGGGACAAGCCTCTGAGGAGGAAACTCGAGGGAGGAGACGCTCGAGAAGAGGGCAGACTGCAGACAGGTGGCGGGGCGCCCGGGGCTGCCAGGAAAACCGACCCAGAGCTCCGATGACAGCCACCTTTCCTCCGCGCGACTCCAAGCCGGTGATCCCCACTTCCCTGCATCTGATCCTGGGCGTTGATTTCCTGCCAGGATTTCTCTCCCAGAGTAAGAAACAAAGCGCCCCCAACGTGCTGAATGCTCAGGTCTCCTAGGAAGAACGTGACATTGGCTCTGTATACCAGGAGCGGGAGCCTACGTCTAGTGACTTGAGAATGGTCCGATGTGCAAAGCAAAATGCATTCTTGAAAACAGATTTGTTCCGCTGCAAAGAAATTTTACCTGGACAAAGCTGGTTCTTGATCTTGGGTCAGTATGGGTTTCTTCCCTTCTTCGTTCATGATTTCCTACATTTAACTTAATATTCAAGCAATTTATTCACAGTCCCTTTATTTTAGTCACTGTTATTTTGGGGGGTGTGTGTGTGTGTGTGTGTGTGTGTGAGAGAGAGAGAGAGAGAGAGAGAGAGAGAGTTTTAACAACAAATTCAATTTATTTAAAAGATGTAGGGCTATTCAGATATTCTATTCCTTCTTGTGTAGTGATAAATTGTATGTTTCTAGGAATTTGTTCATTTAATTTGTCATATTTTGGCATATAGTAATTTAAAATGTATCATTTTTATTTCAAGAATAACATATATACATTACATGTATATATGAAAATGAACATGTTCTAATTTACTATATTTTCCCTACCCAAAGTCCCTTCGGAAAGGAAGCCCTGCTGAATGAAGTGACCCAAACTATTCCTAGAACAGGGGTTGCCCAAATAACTACAAAAAATGTCATCTACCACCCCCTCCCCCGCAGCTGATTGAATTAAGAGAGATCATGTGACCCAAGAGCATACAGTCTATAAACTGGTCATCATCCTATGAGGTGACCTGGAACAAACAGTTCTCACCAGTGACCCTGATAATTAGTAAGCCAATCTGATTCTCCCTTGGAAATTTAAGGTGGAGAATACAGAGAATGAGCCAGCCATCTGATAGGAAGGTTGAAGCTGAGAGAGAGCAAGGCAGAAGGGCCCCAAATGAGCTTCCACTAAGCAAAACATTTGAGTGAGCAGAAACCAGGAGGATAAAGTAGAAGGGGGTGGGGGTGGGGGTGGCAGGTAGAAGTGGTACAAGCTGACTCTAAGAGAAGCTAAGCCCCATTGATGGAAAGAGGGCAACAAAGACCTGCTTCCCGGGGGTATATGACTGTCCGGGTCCCTGGGGCTGCAGTGGATCCATCCATTTCCCCAACTGCATTCTAGTTACCCTTTTATAGTAAACATGTATCACTTGGCTGTGGCTCTGAATGATTCTCTGCTCTGTGATTTTCAACAAAGGTGTGATTCATCTAAGTCATTTCATGTCAAATGAAGTTTAAGGTGACCCCAAGATACTTTGAGATCTATTTTTTTCTCACCAAAAGACAGATGAGAAGTTATACTTTATGTCTTTTTAAATTTACATAATGTAAAAATTGTAATTCAAGAGAAATATATTTAGCAATTCCTCAAGCAGGACCTAGCTATTTCTGCCTATGGTGGTAATCACAATTTTTCAGTCAGATAATATCCTGTGATAGGAATAAGGAATCTGTAATGTGCCACATCTAACACTAAGCAATTAGTGTTTCCCAGTACCCTGCCAGCCAAAAAAAAAAGAAAGAAATTACATTTACCTAAACAAATAAAAGTTTGTGTTAATATAAAAATGAATTCACTCTTTAAAAATATTTTGTTTACACATATGCTACACTAAGCATAACATAAACTTCATGCTTATAAAGAATTACAATTCAAGAGAGTTGTTTTTGATGAAATATTAAAAGTTTTGTCAACTAATATTTTTCATAATCAATTCCTGCTCTCTCAGTTTCCATACAGACTTTTGCCATCTTTTCTTGTTCTTTTCAGAATATTATTATCATGTACAATGTAAACAATGTAGAAGTTTATCCTAAAAAGCAAATAATAAGGTTTATCAAACAGTTAAAAAGTATTTATTAATATCAAGGATGTGCGTCCAACAATGTGCCAGTACTGGAAGGTACAAAGGAGCCTGAGGCATGATCTTTGTCAAAAGGAACTTACAGTAATGGACATATAAAATATTAAGACAATCTTTATCCATTTATTTAATTGCACAGTATAGAGCAGCACTGTCTAATAGAAACCTGATTATGAGCCACATATGTAATTTAAAATTTTCTAGTAGCCACATCAAAAAAAAGAAACTGGTGAAGTTAATTTTAATAATATGTTTTATTAACTAAGTATATCCAAAATACTATCATTTCAACATGTAGTGGATATTTTAAAATTATTAATGATATTACACATTCTTTGTTTTATACTAAGTATTAGAAGCCCATTGTGTATTTTACATTTATAGCACATTTCAGGTACTCAGTAGTCTCATATAGCTAGTAGCTACCGTACTGAACAGTGTAGCTATAAACAATTCCAGAATAAAGCATGACATTACATGCTCATTTTACTTAAGAACTTACATGTTCCTGGAAGAAGAAAAACAATAATATTATATTTAAAGGCTCACAAAATATTGAAGAAGTCATTTTAAAAATGTAATTGTCTCAATTGTAATGAATAGAAAAAGTCCTGTAAGGGAATCTCTAGGACAGCAGTTCCATCCTGAGTATATACCGAACAGAAAATGAACATATATTCACCAAGAAACATGTGCCAGAATATTCATAACAGTGCTGTTCATAATATTTCTAAACTAGAGCTATTTGATACCATTAGAATGGATTAATAAATTGTGGCATATTCATATAATGGGATATTATCCACCAAAGAGAATGAACAACCAACAACATGATTTATCTCACAAATACAGTGTTGAATGAAATCAGCCTAACTACTATTTCATTTACACGAAATTTTAAAAGCAGGCAAACCTAATTTGCATTGTTAGAAGTTAGGATAGTGGTATCCTTGTTGCGTAGTGGAGGATAGTGACTGAGATGGGGCACAAATGGCCCTTATGAGGTTCTGATAATGTTCTGCTTCTTGATCTGTGTACTGGTTACACAGGTGTTTTATTTTTGAGAATTCACTAATGTTTTCTGTGGGTATATTCCTTATTAAATAAAACATTTTTAAAAATAAAGAATAGAGGAACTTGAGCAAGCAAAGCATATTTCAGGAGTGTAAAAATTATTCAAGAACATAGGGAAATGTCATAATCCTATATGGCCAACAGTCTCTAAGTTTTATCTTATTTCCTAAAATGAGATTTCTCTTTGGGACCTGTCATTCTAGTTGTGAATGTCATCACCTTGTGCTCATGTTAATATTTATGATGATAGTGATAAATAATGATGATTGCATGTCTTGGGCACTAATTTTTGGTCTAATTGTGGTGTTGTTTGAATACTTTGGTGATACAAAGAATTCAAAGTAAAACCTGTGCCCTCAAGGAATAATGGAAAAAGGGTTATACACTATGAGCAAATAAGATTTATCCCAGGAGTGCAAAGTTGGCTCAACATACAAAAATTAATCAATGTAATACACTATATTAATATAATAAATGGACAATCCACATGATCATTTCATTAGATGCAGAAAAAACATTTGACAAAATCCATTACCCTTTCATTATAAAAATACTTAACAATTGGGGCCGGCCCGGTGGCGCACTGCTACAGTGCGCCGCTTGGGAAGCGCGGCGGCGCTCCCGCCGAGGGTTCGGATCCCACATACAGACTGGCCGCTCACTGGCTGAGCGAGGTGTGGGAGCTGGGAGACTGCTGATTACTGCTTCAATCTTGTTGCTTGTTACTGGTCTGTTCAGGTTTTCTACGGCTTCCTGGCTCGTTCTTGGTAATTTGTATGTGTTGAAAAATTTATCCATTTCCTCCAGGTTTTCAAATTTGTTGGCATATAGTTGTGCCAACACCTATAGGTGCCAACACATATAAGGTCTTCTCCTTTTTTAGTTAGCCTTGCTAATGGTTTGTCTATTTTGTTTATCTTCTCAAAAAAAATCAACTTTTCGTTTTATTGATTATATCATTTTTTGTTTCTCTATTTCATTTGGTTCTGATCTGATCTTAATTATTTCTTTCCATCTACTAATTTTGGGGTTGGATTGTTCTTGTTTTTCTAGTTCTTTGAGTTGTAGCATTAGTTGATTTATTTGAAATCTTTCTATTCTTTTGATGTAAGCATTTATAGCAATAAACTTCCATCAGTGCTGTTTTTGCTGTATCTCACAGGTTTTAGAATGATATGTGTTTATTTTCATTAACTTCAGGAAATTTTAGGATTTCTTGTTTAATTTCTTCTTGGGCCCATGGTTCATTCAGGAGCGTGTTGTTGAATTTCCATGTGTTTGTATATCTTCCAGAGTTTTGCTTGTTATTGATGTGTAGTTTTAATCCATTATGGTCTGAAAAGATACTTGAAATAATTTCAAATATTTTAAATTTATTGAGACTTAATTTGTAACCTAATATGTGGTCTATCCTGGAGAATATTCCACATGCTGATGAGAAGAATGTACATTCTGTAGTTGCTGGATGAAATATTCTGTAGATATCTTCCAAGTCTAATTGGTCTAACGTATAGTTTAAGCCCTCTGTTTCTCTGTTGAATTGACTAGATGATCTGTCCAGTGCTGAGGGAGGGGTGTTCAGGTCCCTAACTGTTGTCATATTGGGGTCTATCTCTTTCTTTAGGTCTAATACTGTGTGCTTTATTTACCTGTGTGATCTGGTGTTGGGTGCGTATATGGTTATTATGATTATTATGTCTTCTTGCTGAATATATCCCTTCATCATTACATAATAGCCTTCTTTGTCTCTTTTCATGGTTTTTGGTTTAAAGTCTATTTTATGTAATATAAGAATAGCTACTCCTGCCAATATCTTTGATGAATATAGACGCAAAAATCCTCAACAAAATGTTAGCAATCAGAATATAGCAACACATCAAAAAAGTTATACACCATGATCAGGTGAGATTCATCCCAGACGTGCAAGTATGGTTCAATATATGCAAGTCAATAAATGTGATATACCACATCAACAAAATCAAGGACAAAAATCATATGATTATCTCAATAGATGCAGAAAAAACATTTGACAAAATTCAACATCCCTTCATAATAAAAACTCTTAGCAAATTAGGTATAGAAGGAACATATCTCAACACAATAAAAGCCATATTTGACAAACCCACTACCAATATCATCCTGAATGGGGAAAAGCTAAAAGCTTTTCCTTTAAGAACAGGAACAAGGCAAGACTGCCCACTCTCACTGCTCCCATTTAACATAGTATTGGAAG